TGAAGTACCAATCTTTATCACACATCATGTCTTCATAATGGTCTACTAAACGATTCGGAATCGATGCACATATTCGATCACTCTAGATTTTCAGTTACAAAATAATGATGGTATTGATAATATATTAAGATTCAGACAGTATGCTATTTTTGAATTTATACTTACATGTTCGTCTGCGAATATAAACGATCGCTGAATACCGTGAACACCTAGGCTTTCCTCGACACTCTTGATAACTTGAACACAAATAGAAGATCGATCAGATGCTATACCTAAATCAGAAATCATCGTGCAAGAAAACATTTTTTCAAAAATAGATGCAGTTATTCTTAACAATGAATAGAATCTGATTACGAGTAATAAACGGGTACTACTTTAAATTGAAAACAACCGTTACGACAACCAATAGTAGTGTTTGCAATGTTTTGAAAAATAACGGTCATGTTTACCACCGCTAATTTAGTTGGATATATATGTCATGTTTTGTTATAATTATAATATAATAATTATGAAAATCAATAATAGAAAGAACCTCATCAGAATCATTACTAGGTGATAAAATGACATATAATTGTGATGATTATAAATATTTGTTTTATTGTGATAATAATTGTGATACTAGCTTTTTTAGAGACTTAGACATATAAATTTTTTTTCTGAAGGAATATTTATTAAATTTTGTTTCGTTTATTATATAAAGTACAATTTTTCTATATTTAATTAATATTAATGGTATAATTTCATTTTATTATTGTAAATAAGTGTTGTTCATCTTAAAAATGATAATTTCATTAATTAATATTAATGGTATAATTTCATTTTATTATTGTAAATAAGTGTTGTTCATCTTAAAAATGATATATACTGAAAGTTTAACAAAAAATATTATACAATTTAACTATTATTCATAAACTCAAATATAAAAATATTATACGATTTCTTAAATATATAAAGTCTGCACTTGGCAAAAATTGAAAATAAAAATGTGATGTATATGTTACAAGAATTTCAATAATCAAATTATAATAATGTTTATATAATGATTGTGTCCGCGCGACGAGGTAGTTGAAAATTATATTATAAGAATTACGGTGTGTTTAGTGATATGTACTATAAAATATATGTCCAAGGGCTTCAGCTTTTAGGTTTGGAACAATACTATGATGGAATATCAACACTTGCGAAAACAAGTTTTGATCTCTGCAGTAGCAGTATATCATTACAACTTTTGATTATTTGAAAAATTTGAGAAAACAAGTGTAACAACAATGCGCGAGCAATGTATCATCCGACCAATTCCACAACGGACTTTTCGGCTTTCACATGTGCTGGGACGAGATGAAAGGAAAAACAGAGCTGCTAATGATTAAGTTACCTGGACGCTTTCAGGCCTATGCAACAATCTCTTATTCACAGAGGTTTTCAACGCAAACTAAGCTTTATAAACATCAAATTTGTTAATAACCAAACCCAAACCACGTCATATTCAGCTGTTGATACATAGGGGAAGCTTTATCGCCCATATATCGCAGATTGTGTAATATGATTCACAGACTCCGAGACTGAGACAACACTCTCTTGATCTTTAATCTGCAACGCAAATACTGGTTGTTTTGGTCTCGGAAGATCTGTTTCAGTTGTGATCATGGACACTACTTGTGCAATGTTTAATCTGTCAATAGCTTGTTGTTGGATGCAAAGTAGACCAATCTGAACACATCTAGCGACTTCAACTGGAGAACACGAGCTGCTAATATCTTGATCCAATAGATTAACCCCACCGGTCTCGAGCCAAGATTCCCATGCCTGTGATATATAGTTTAAAATTGACAGCATCTAAGAAATTTATTTGCATCATAAATTTTGTGATTTGGAACACATTAGGCGGATAGAGCAAATTTCTTACATACTCAAGAAGTGTTTTGCCTTCCTCTCCACAGTTAAATCTTGAAATCCTCTTCCCGCTAATGATTTCTAGCAGCAGAACTCCGAAAGCATATATGTCGGACTTCTCTGAGAACATCCCTGTCCATGCATACTCAGGAGACATGTATCCTCTGTTTCATATCCCAAATAGTCTTGTTAAGTTGACAAAATTAATACTTTGAGTGAGCACGTCATTGGATAGATACTTACAGAGTTCCAACAACCCTATGAGTGTTGTCTTGATGTTGTGTTCCTTGAAACATGCGAGCCAATCCGAAATCTGATATTTTGGGGTTCAAGTTCACGTCCAAGAGAATGTTGCTGACCTTCAGATCTCGGTGAATGACCCTGAGGCATGAGTCACGATGGAGATAGAGAAGCCCACGTGCAATTCCTTGAATGATATTGAACCTCTTAGGCCAATCAATCTGAAGCTTTAGCGTCAAATCTAACCAATAAGATAAAAAAAGTATATTAATGAGCAAAAGAAAAGGAATTCTCTTTTGATGTAGAGTAAAGGGAGCACAAGGAGCAGACCAAAGAGAAAAGTGTCGAGGCTTTTGTTCACCATAAACTCATAAATTAGTAGCTTTTCTTCTCCATCAATGCAGCATCCCAATAGTCGAACCAAGTTTCTGTGTTGTAGTTTTGAGATGAGTTTTATTTCATTCATGAACTCTTCTGTACCCTGGCCAGAGCTGCTAGAAAGCCGTTTAACTGCTATTTCCTTCCCGTCTGACATATTTCCCTAGATGCAAAGTTGCAGACAGTCATTCGTAGAACAATATATAACATAGACGTGAGAATAGCAAAAAGAGGAATTTTCTCTTACCTTATAAACTGGACCAAATCCACCTTGACCGAGTTTGTTTGAGACATTGAAGTTATTGGTAGCAGCTCGTATGGTATTCATCTCAAAGAATGTTAAACCTGAGATTTCTTGTGTATCCAAACCATCTTTCCATGAATCTTGTGAGATGTCGAAGAACATCCGAGTTGGCCCAACAAATCACAAAAGTTTGTAAATTAGTATATAATTTGAAGAGGTGTAACAAGCTAAAGCTCAATAGACAAGCTTCAAGTAAATGTATATATGGAATACATAAACTTCTATAAGCTAAAAGCAATGTATGACAGAGCACAGTTAAAGAAAGACAGCTACACAATGTTTTCCGATGTCTCACCATTTTGTTTTGCTCTGTACCTCCAGTACATATACAAGGCAAAGACCAAAAGGACCAAAATGGTAAGGCTTGTAGTACCAGCAATAATCTTGGTTCTCCTACTTCCGACTGAGAGATTTACCACAAAACAAAACTGTGAAAAGTAAAAAACCATATTGCAGTGGAAATTAACACTATAAATGAAGCTACAGAGTAAAATGTAATAGCAAATGATGAGTCTTTATGGAAAAATGTCTTTCAGTCTTACCCAGTTCTGAACTTGCAAGACGAATTGAAAGAAGCTCTCCCCCAACGGAATACTTAACTGTGTCTATTAGCTTCTGATTCCAAAGCAAGCATCCAATTCCAGTAATATACGCAAAAGCAGTGCAAGAGCAATTCTTGAGACAACCCTAGTGGCATTGCTCTGCATCCAAAATCCTTGCGTATTCGTAGTGATCCGGAGGCTTTACATTGGCCAGACGATAGAAGACATCAGTGTTTTTTCCTTGTGTCTTTGTACAAGATAATTCTGTACGTCTCACACATCCAGAAGTCATGTTTCCGCGCTTCCACTCCTCCTTGTATTTTGGTACAAACCCTTTTATGCACGTACACTTTGTGGGATTGGACGTGACACACAACCCAAAAGGTCCACACGCACCATACAGATCACATGAATTCGCTGAAGTCACAAAGCTCAGAACCCAACCTGTCCCATTGTACAGAAAAGTCTTTAAATATCCCTCTGATGTTATGATAATTCGCGTAACTTCGGAATTTCTCTGAAGATAAGAGAAGGACCCTGTTCCATTTCCTACATCTTGGGAAAGGCTAAAAGGACTTGCGTATGATTCATCCATTTCTGGTACGCCAGTGAACCTGGTCTTAGCCCATGGACCGCTTCTCTTATAGAGTGTCGTGCCTTTCATAGTAACGATCTGTGCTGGCACTTGTGGCGTCATCTGAACTACAAATTACCAGGGGATGGATCAGTGTGGCTTTTCCAAGAAGTCAATACTCGCTTCTCCCCAGTGGCAAGGTTGTACGTCAGTGATGAGAGAGGTAGCATAGTATCACCAAGATTCTCGAAACTTTGCCACAAAAAACTTCCTGAAACATCATCCACGATGACAAGATTGCCGGTATCTTAGAGCTTTGCATGACACTTGTTAGATGTGGAAGGTTTTCTGGTTGACCAAACAACATTTTTTCGGCTGTCAAGCAAGATAAGGTTTCCATTTCCGTTGATAGTGAGGTTTGCCACAGGGTTTGTGATAGGCTTTTCTCGGTTAGCCACCCACACAATCACCCGTGGTGTAATTTTCTTGAACCAGATCCCGACATACTGATTCTGAGAGCTGTTAGGAGTGAAGAATCCTAACTCGTAAGATCCACTAGGGGAACTCAGAGTTTGTCCTAGTGATAAAGGACTTTCCTTAGATATAGCTGCATAGCCACCGCTTAAGAACATACTTGACCAGAGAAAGCAAGGAAAGAGAAGAATACCAATATCTCTCAAGTGTATCTCCATATGTCCGAAAGAGTTCTCCTTCAGATCTGAATGTATAAAATCTCATTTTGATTAACTGAAAGCTCTGAGCATATTGACTCATGTAGTTATATTATACCATATATACTCATATTATATTGCATTGTTTTATATTTTCACGCCTCGTTTCTTTGAATAGGTATTATAATATACAGAACTGTTGACTCGTCGTGTTTCACTTTCGAAAGAGAGAGAAAATGCAACCTTGTCTTTTGGTGTGTTCCCATATAAATAATTGTAATACTATATTCTAATTATAAACTCTTGCATCACCCCTATCCATGTTCAACACATGCCTTTGTTTGATAGTGAGTTTTGTTACTTCTGTACTCTCTGTAGAATCTAACAAAAAGAAATCATTGTTTCAAGGCAAACACTTTTCATCTCTCACACAAAAGACATGAAAGCAAATACAGAGCTGCAAAAATGAATAAAGTACCTCTCTATGGAGGCTTCCAAGAGAGTTTGCTCATATTTACAGCGAGAATATCATTATTCACGATCACCTCTCTATGAAGGCTTCTACTTCAGACTAGCTCTTGTTTTGCGTTTGGGATCATCTCACCAGTAATCCCCGCACGAACAGGCACCGTACTTGAAATGGTGAAACCTTTGCATGTCCCGTACAATAATCTCTCTTCCGGTCACAAGGGATATGTACTTTGTAGCATTGTGACAGTCAGCACAGACTCGCAAGTTCTTTCTAACATGAATAGTTGTACCAGCTGTTGTATTCAAGAGTCCAAAAGAAATAGCCAGCTTCTCACTGTGGCTACTCAGCAACTGCTCCTTAACATCATCTTCCACACCGAGGACTAAATTCTTGTTGGGAACATAACCAGCTTCTTTGATTTTGCAAATCAGCTTCTCAAGAAAAGCATAGATCTTCTTGGAATCGGGATGGGTTGTACTTCCAGAGAAGAAGCTATGCATCACGTTCTTTATCTCTACCATACTGCAACCAGGAGTTTTGCGCAGACCCTGTCTCAACATTGAAACTCTCACTTGTCCCACTTTCTCCCACATTGAAGCTGAGCGATATATGTTGGCAAGAAGCACATGATACCCACCATCCTCCGGGCTCAACTCAAATAATCTCTCTGCTGCTTTCTCAGCGAATTCCACGTTTTTATGAATCTGGCAAGCTCCCAACATGGCACCATATACATTAACAGCCGGCTTAACGGGCATCTGTATAATAAAGTCCCAAGCTTCACTCAACTGTCCAGCTCGACCCAGAAGGTCGACCATGGCTCCATAATGGTCCATTGACGGTTCAATGCAGTAGTCTTCCTTCATCATATGGAAGCACTTGAGTCCTTCCTCCACCAAACCCGAGTGGCTACAAGCAGAGATAACAGAAAGAAATGTGACACCATTAGGTTTGATGTTGCCTTCTCGCATTACTTCAAACAATTCCAGAGCTGATTTCCCAATCCCATGTGTCCCGTATCCATCTATCATAGCGTTCCATGTAGTCACGTGACGCTCACTCATCATGTCAAAAATCTTTCTTGCAGTCATAATCGCTCCACATTTAGCATACATGTCGACTAGACCCGTCATGACGAAAACGTTTTTGTCCAGACAATTTCTCATGACAACGCCATGTATCCACTTCGCATGATGCGTAACAGACAACTCCGCAAGAGCGGTTATTACACTCACATAACTAAACGTATCTGGTTTCACGGTCCAAGCACGCATCTGGCTGAAGTAATTCAATGCTTCGATAGGACGACCATTCTGTGCAAATCCTAATATCATTGCGTTCCATGAAACAAGAGTTCTGCTCTGCAATTTCCCGAATATAGAAGCTGCAGTATCAACTTCATTGCACTTGCAGTACATGGAGATCAAAGAGTTCGCTACCGAAACATTTCTCTCAAGATCCAACTCAATCAATAACTTATGAACGAATTTTCCTCTCTCAAGGTCCCCTAGGTCAGCACAAGCATGCAAAGCACCCATGATTGATACATCAGTTGGTTTCAGTCCTTCATCAACCATCTTCATAAAAATCATCATTGCCTCTTTAGGATTCTCATGCTGCACATACGCAGCAATCATCGAATTCCACGAAACAACATTCCTTTCCAATATTCCATCAAAGAGCCATCGAGCAGTTTTCAGATATCCGCATTTCGCATACATGTCAACCAAAGCCGTGGAGATATTGACAAGAGAATCAAACCCAGCACGCATTGCATACCCGTGAATCTCCTTGCCAATACTAACCAACCCCAAAGCAGAAACAGCAGGCAAAACAGAGACAATAGTTATGAAACTAGGCTTCAGATTCTCCTCGCACATTCGAGCAACCATTTCTAAAGCCATGCTCGCAAATCCGTTCTGTGAATACCCAGAAACCATTGTATTCCACGAAACCAAGTCTCTATCAGTCATTCTATCGAACACCTTGCGAGCCTCGTGTACCTGCCTACACTTAGCATACATATTCTCAAGCCCAGTCATGGCAAACAAATCCAACGAGAACCCATTCTTAACCAACAATCCATGAATCTCCTTACCTACTCTAATCTCTGCCTCGTCTCCACAAACTTTTAAGAGATAAGTGAAGTTATACACAACAGGCTCTACATCGTCATATCTCATTCGAACAAAAAAATCCACAGCTTTCTCCAAGTTCGAAACTTTCGCGTACCCTTTGAGCATAGTGTGGTAAAGAACATCGAGCTTATCATCAATTGGCTCGAAAACACGAGCAGCCTCGACGACACTGCCGTAGCGACAAAACAAGCTGACGAGCTTCGTTTGGAAAAGATGCTCCTGGTAAAGACCGTTCTTGAAGACGAGAGGCAGGACGTGACGGAGATGTTTCAGAGAAGAGCATTTCTCGAGGAGAAGAGCCGTTGGGTGCTCGTAGACATTAGCCGGGATGTATGTTCTCTGGGAAAGGAAATGACGATGGTGAGACGAAGATGGCGAATCAGGGACTTGAAGAAGTGTGGAGACAGAGCTCATGGTTTTTGTTCTGCAAAATCAATACGCAAATTGACAATTCCTTTCTCTTACAGGTCCCAAAATCTTCTACTAGTTCTAATTTTGCCGTTTTCTATAGTAAAACAGAGCAGACATTATCGTCAATGTCTGGATTTCATTGATTCCGTAAAAGAAGATGAAGTTTGAATAAGACTTAACCGGCCAATCAAGCATCACGACTTGACCGGTTTAGAAATGATTGGCTAATAACAAGTCATAACCTCTGTTTGGATTAATAAACCCTTTTCTTTAATCACTCTGTATCGTTGTTTCTTGCAGACAATTCTATGTTAGATTAAGTCCATCTCTCCTTCCTCTTTTGATTATGAGTGTCATCATAAAATATTTTTAGGGCTTTTTGACATACCCATATTGTGAATTATTTGTGTTCTTCGTCGGATTATGCTTCAGGGTTCTTGTTCCACGAAAAAAAATTGAAATTCTGATGTTGTGGGAGTTTATATTGAAGCTTTAGGTAGGGTGTTCAAGCTGAATGTGTGTTATTGCCACATTCTCTAATCATTTTAATTTTGTGAAAAGGGTACATTCTCTAACCATTTTTGGGGTATTTTTGCGACATACCCAGATGGTGAATTATACAGATAGTCCCACATCGTTAGTTTCGGATATTATACATGTCTATATAATATTCATGAAAGGAGTATTCAATCTACAATTGTCACTGGACGAAGTGAATGGGTCAAATGGGCTTGTCTAAGTTCCGACCCAGGAAAGTCCCCGGGCTATTCTCCGCAGAGATGCGGCCTTGTCAACGAGAGAGTCATACGGTGGAGTCGATCCAATCAGAGCTGAGACGTGTGTATGGAGCTCACGTGGTCCCTCTGCCGATGATATCATGGCCGTGATAACACAGTTATTCACCTGGTTCTTAATTGGACTAACCGAACGGGGCTTACGTTCCAGTGACAACATCTTTTGATTTCGAGCCCCCATAAAACAATACTACAAAACATTTATCTTTGCATAAGCATCGACTTGGCATCTTGTCCTTTGTTGCTTTATTACAATGGCGAACTGGAAGTCGAACTTGAATAGCAATTTACACAACATAACATGTTAAACGATAGTACAAAAACTTTCAAGATGAAGTGATGAACTATGCAAAGGGAAGATATTTACTTCGTAAAGGCAGAAGAGCAAAAGCAAGGATTGGAACTATTAAGTATAGCTCGAGCGATTCTCTTTGGAATTAATGAATCCCAATAACTCCTCCTTCGCTGGAGTACCCCCACAAGAAAAGAGATAGCTTCAGTATTGGGCACATAATCGGGACAAGCTGCAGGATCAAGCAAAATATTAGAAGCTGTGATTAAGGAGTCTAACAAGGTTATTCTAGTAAAACCTAAAATTTTGAAGGTTATTCTATTGAATTTTGTATAAACTTAATTCAAAACAAAAAAAAGTCATTTTTATCACTAGTTTTTTTTTTAATTTAAAAACATATATAGGGACGTTTTACTTTTCACCTTCTAAGTGTTCGATAATGTTTCAACAAAAGACACATGGGAGAATATGGGATTCCTTTTGAAGAAGAACCGAGCTTCGATTGGCGAGTTCGACATATCGAGACTGCAGACAAAGTGGACCGTATCTGATGGTGTTTCGGCGAAGTTTCAGAGAAATTTTGCGAAACTCATAGAATTATTCAATGCATGATGATAAATTTAGTTTTGATGTTTGATAGATTTATTTTTGATGGTTTAGTAGATTTATTTTCATGGTGGTAGATTTTTTTTTTCCCAACAGGTGTCTGAGCATTGCCATCGCAGACAAGTCTTGGGTGATATTTCTGGTAAAACTTTGGTGTTTTATTCAAGGGGTTTAAATAGTTGAATTTTGGATATAGTAGGAGTTATAGTTTGTGATATTTATTGATAACAAATTAAAACCCTAATGTGATTTTAGTGTATTTTTAAAAATGATTATATAGTTACTTTTGAAATGATATTAGATTTATTATTGTGTTTTAAAGATATTTGTCAAAAAATTTCTTGCTATTTTCTGTTAAGTTCTTGGGCTTCACTACAGCGGATAAGTTTTTGGGAAGATTTCCGATTTTGTTTCAACGTGTTCTACTAAGATTATTATTGATGGTGAATTTAGATTTGTTTTAAGAATTATGGTAGATTTGCTATCTAATTGATGGTAAATTTGTTTTTAAAAGGTGTTTGGCAAAATTCGTAAATCTATTTATTTATATCTTAAATTATTTGTCTTGCTAAACACATTCGTGTTCTATCTATCTCCAGAGTCTTGGATATCCAAATTTTTTAGACGAATCAAATTGCCAACCCAACTACTATTTTGCTTACCACGATTGTTGTAGTGTTGTGGACTTGTGGCTCTTGTAATTTTTCGTTTTTCTTCTTCGTCTAGGTCTTTATGTTAATGTCTATTTGGCACAGCACACAAACAAGAACTCAGTTCAACCAAAAGAACTTTCGGGACCTGCTTCCTAAGAAACGATATCAAAGAGATCAGTTTCTAGGGTTTGAGTGTAAAACTCGTTTTCTTTATTAATCAATATATATCTGTCTTTCAAAAGAAGTAAAAGAAGAACTTAAACAGGCCACTCGTCTAGGTCACAGCCGACTTCAACGAAGATCAAAAACAAAAGCCCATAATAACGTAACGGACAAGTAATGGAAGTAAAAGCCAAAAAACCAGCAAAAATAGTAAAGACAAAAGAACTCGTTAAGTTGTGGTTAACAGCTCCTTTGATGCAGCTGCATCACTATTGTGATACTTTTTATTTTCTCTTTTTTAAGTTTTGGATTGATGCAAGTAAATTGTTTCTAATAAACACAATGTTTTAAAAATTCTTGTTTAATTGTAAAGGGGTGTATTGAAAATCTTGCATAATCTCCTTTAAAAAATTATATTGTTTTTGACTTTGGGTTTCTCGAAAGAAGAGAAAAGAAAGTAAGGAGTGAACGAGATTTTGGATAATAGCTTGATTGATGGTTTGGTCTACCCCGGAATGTTTTCTTTTTTGAAAATATGTTAAATTATATTTCAAAAAAAAACTGTATTCTGTACAAAATCTTTAAAGATAGAGAAAGCAAGAATTAATGTCGCGAAGCTAAAAAACAGGAGGCAAAATTTATTTAAATGCTACTTTCTATCTGCGAGTATCAAACCATCTCTCCAAGCCCTCTTCATAGCTGCGATCCCCTGCAATGCGTAATGAGCTCAACCTGTTCCTCATCATCCGATCGAGTATGAGAATCAAGTTCTGTGGCGATGTCGGAGAATCCCCATGCCGTCGACAGTTTCGCTCTTTCCAGATCCAGGTGAGCGCTATTTGGAAACAATATTTCGCTAGAAACAGAGTCATCTTGTCCAGAGTATCAGAGAGAAGCAGGTTGAGTATCTCATCAAGTTTCACCGAATAAATGTTCCAAGGAGGTGGCAAGTAAGACCATACCAAACTTGATTAGAAAAACTGCATTCAAAGAACAGGTGTGCCTTTGTTTCCACGGGAATGGAGCAAAAGACACATGCCGCAGAGATTCCTCTGTTCCACAAAAGCATACAATCCCCTGTTGTTAATCTGTCACGCATAGCAAGCCATGTGATGAAGGCACACTTCGGCGTAGCGTGGCGAAACCAGACCTACAGGACTCCAACCTCTCTGAGGGGCGTGATGCCTAATGATATCCCAAGTTTGCTTCGACGAAAACTTTTTCCAATACTTGTTATTTTTTCCTCTCCATAACGCTTGATCTGAACCACTAGTACGTTGAGAAGCAACTTTCCAGACTTCATCTTCAATTAAGTTCAGAGTATCATTCCGGTGATGTTTCCTTCGGTGGCTTCGCCAGACAGATGCTAATGTGGCATAGGCAAATACACCATATGCAATTAATCCCATCGAACCTGTTAGATCTATTAGGCATCCCAACCCACTCCAATGATCATGCCAGAAAGAGATTTCTTCGCCATCCTGTACTTTCACACAGTGCATCGTCTTTGCGACATCTCGAAGCTTCAAGAGACGTCTCCATATCCATGAGCCATGAAGCTGAGAGGGCTTTAAAGCCCAGAAAGAGTTGCCGCGGAACAGATAGTGTCGTACCCACTGTACCCATAAAGATGTTCGATTTGATAGTAATCCCCAAATCAGCTTAAGACTACACACCTTATTAGCCTCTTGTACAGATCGAATCCCCAACCCACCTTCCGATTTTGGCTTACAGACATCTATCCAAGCGACTTTCACTTTCCTTACATTTAAACTTGGTCCGGACCATAGAAACGAATTGCACAGTCCCTCAACCTCTCGCACGAAACTTTGCGGTAATCGAAAAAGCAGCTATCCAAAAATTGATCAGTCCAGATATTACCAAAAGAATGAGCTGTAACCGACCAGCATAAGAAAGATGTCTTGCGGTCCAAGATCCAATGCGAGCCCGAATTTTCTCAATCAACGGAGCATAGTCTTCCTTCATCATACGTTTAGTCAATAATGGGAGGCCCAGATATCGCACCGGTAGCTCCCCTATTGGAGACGTGAACCGCTCTGCAATCATATTGCGGTTCTCCTCCGAAACCCCTGCCATAAAGATCGTCGATTTCTCAAGACTGATCTTTAAACCAGAAGCAGCTGCAAAGTCATCAAAGACCTGTACAATTCCATTTATCGATCAAACTGTTCCATCTGTAAATACAATAAGGTCGTCTGCAAAACACAGGTGTGTGAGATTTAAATCAGCACAGTTTGTGTGATATCCAAATTTCCTTTCCTTCGCTGCACAATCTAGCAGACATGAGAGAACATTCATACAAATGACAAACACATAGGGAGATAATGCACAGCCTTGTCGTAGCCCACGGTTACTCTGAAAGTATCCAACTAATTCCCCATTCACCTAGACCGAAAAGGAGGCAGATGATATGCATAATCATATCCAGTCCACAAATTTCGCTGGCATTCCTAGAGCGGTTAGGACATTCAAAAGAAACCCCCATTGCACTGTGTCGAAAGCTTTCGCAATATCTATCATAATAGCTGAGCGAGGTGGTTGCAGATCCATATGGTAATCATCGACAAGCTCTGAAGCAAGCAGGACATTCTCAACTAGAAGCCTATCTCTGATAAAAGCATATTGATTTGAAGCGATGATAGCCGGAAGAATACGTTTTAATTGATTCGCCCGTATCTTTGAAACGATCTTATATAAGACATTGCAGCAGGAGATAGGTCGATAATCTTTCATCGTTTTCGCATCTTTGTTTGGGGTATAAGGGCCAAAATCGTTGAATTCACACCTTTCGGGAGGAACCCCAATCTGAAAAAGATGAACTGGTACTATAACATCTCGTCCAATAACTGACCATGCTCCCTTAAAAAAATCGATGGTGAACCCATCAGGACCAGGCGATTTATCGCTAGGCATTGAGAATACCACCTGCATGACCTCTTCATCTGTGACATCGCAAATCAACATGTTCTGATCCTGAGAAGAGCATCGCGTATCCAGTATATTTTCAAGTTCACTGACGCCTAACCCTTGATATGCTGGGGGAATTTCGTTTAGAAATTCTCGAAAATGACTCTCAGCTTATAATACTCATCGGATTTTTCAGTACTGTCCCATTCACATCCACAATCTCTCTGATCGAATTCTGCGACTCGCGGACACGAGCTGCTCTGTAAAATACCTTATTGCTTTTATCTCCTACATTCAGCCAATGTAGTTTGGATTTTTGCTTCCAAAAACTCTCTTCAAGCCCTGAAAGAAACTCCCTTCTCGCTAAAGCATTAGACTCTCTCTGATTGAATGACGATGGTGAGACGAAGATGGCGAATCAGGGACTTGAAGAAGTGTGGAGACAGAGCTCATGGTTTTTGTTCTGCAAAATCAATACTCAAATTGACAATTCCTTTCTCTTACAGGTCCCAAAGTCTTGTACTAGTTCTAATTTTGCCGTTTTCTATAGTAAAACAGAGTAGACATTATCGTCAATGTCTGGATTTCATTGATTCCGTAAAAGAAGATGAAGTTTGAATAAGACTTAACCGGCCAATCAAGCATCACGACTTGACCGGTTTAGAAATGATTGGCTAATAACAAGTCATAATCTGTTTGGATTAATAAACCCTTTTCTTTAATCACTCTGTATCGTTGTTTCTTGCAGACAATTCTATGTTAGATTAAGTCCATCTCTCCTTCCTCTTTTGATTATGAGTGTCATCATAAATCATTTTTAGGGCTTTTTGACATACCCATATTGTGAATTATTTGTGTTCTTCGTCGGATTATGCTTCAGGGTTCTTGTTCCACGAAAAAAAATTGAAATTCTGATGTTGTGGGAGTTTATATTGAAGCTTTAGGTAGGGTGTTCAAGCTGAATGTGTGCTATTGCCACATTCTCTAATCATTTTAATTTTGTGAAAAGGGTACATTCTCTAATCATTTTTGGGGTATTTTTGCGACATACCCAGATGGTGAATTATACAGATAGTCCCACATCGTTAGTTTCGGATATTATACATGTCTATATAATATTCATGAAAGGAGTATTCAATCTACTATTGTCACTGGGCGAAGTGAATGGGTAAAATGGGCTTGTCTAAGTTCCGACCCAGGAAAGTCCCCGGGCTATTCTCCGCAGAGATGCGGCCTCGTCAACGAGAGAGTCATACGGTGGAGTCGATCCAATCAGAGCTGAGACGTGTGTATGGAGCTCACGTGGTCCCTCTGCCGATGATATCATGGCCGTGATAACACAGTTATTCACCTGGTTCTTAATTGGACTAACCGAACGGGGCTTACGTTCCAGTGACAACATCTTTTGATTTCGAGCCCCCATAAAACAATACTACAAAACATTTATCTTTGCATAAGCATCGACCTGGCATCTTGTCCCTTGTTGCTTTATTTCAATGGCGAACTGGAAGTCGAACTTGAATAGCAATGTACACAACATAACATGTTAAACGATAGTACAAAAACTTTCAAGATGAAGTGATGAACTATGCAAAGGGAAGATATTTACTTCGTAAAGGCAGAAGAGCAAAAGCAAGGATTAGAACTATTAAGTACAGCTCGAGCGATTCTCTTTGGAATGAATGAATCCCAATAACTCCTCCTTCGCTGGAGTACCCCCACAAGAAAACAGATAGCTTCAGTATTGGGCACATAATCGGGACAAGCTGCAGGATCAAACAAAATATTAGAAGCTGTGATTAAGGAGTCTAACAAGGTTATTCTAGTAAAACCTAAAATTTTGAAGGTTATTCTATTGAATTTTGTATAAACTTTATTCAAAACAAAAAAAAGTCATTTTTATCACTAGTGTTTTTTTAATTTAAAAACATATATAGGGACGTTTTACTTTTCACCTTCTAAGTGTTAGATAATGTTTCAACAAAAGACACATGGAAGGATATAGGGTTCCTTTTGAAGATGAACCGAGCTTCGATTGGCGAGTTCGACATATCGAGATTGCAGACAAAGTGGACCGTATCTGATGCTGTTTTGGCGAAGTTTCAGAGAAATTTTGCGAAGCTCATAGAATTATTCAATGCATGATGATAAATTTAGTTTTGATATTTGATAGATTTATTTTTGATGGTTTAGTATATTTATTTTCATGGTGGTAGATTTTTTTTTTCCCAACAGGTGTCTGAGCATTGCGATCGCAGACAAGTCTTGGGTGATATTTCTGGTAAAACTTTGGTGTTTTATTCAAGGGGTTTAAATAGTTGAATTTTGGATCTAGTAGGAGTTATAGTTTGTAATATTTATTGATAACAAATTAAAATCCTAATGTGATTTTAGTGTATTTTGAAAAATGATTATATAGTTGCTTTTGAAATGATATTAGATTTATTATTGTGTTTTAAAGATATTTGTCAAAAAATTTCTTGCTATTTTCTGTTAAGTTCTTGGGCTTCGCTACAGCTGATAAGTTTCTGGGAAGATTTCCGATTTCGTTTCAGCGTGTTCTACTAAGATTATTATTGATGGTGAATTTAGATTTGTTTTAAGAATTATGGTAAATTTGCTATCTAATGGTAAATTTGTTTTTAAAAGGTGTTTGGCAAAATTCATAAATCTATTTATTTATATCTTAAATTATTTGTCTTGCTAAACACATTCGTGTTCTATCTATCTCTAGAGTCTTGGATATCCAATTTTTTTAGACGAATCAAATTGCCAACCCAACTACTATTTTGCTTACCACGATTGTTGTAGTGTTGTGGACTTGTGGCTCTTGTAATTTTTCGTTTTTCTTCTTCGTCTAGGTCTTTATGTTAATGTCTATTTGGCACAGCACACAAACAAGAACTCAGTTCAACCAAAAGAACTTTCGGGACCTGCTTCCAAAGAAACGATATCAAAGAGATCAGTTTCTAGGGTTTGAGTGTAAAACTCGTTTTCTTTATTAATCAATATCTGTCTTTCAAAAGAAGTAAAAGAAGAACTTAAACAGGCCACTCGTCTAGGTCACAACCGACTTCAACGAAGATCAAAAACCAAAGCCCATAAAAATAACGTAACGGACAAGTAATGGAAGTAAACGCCAAAAAACCAGCAAAAATAGTAAAGACAAAAGAACTCGTTAAGTTGTGGTTAACAGCTCCTTTGATGCAGCTGCATCACTATTGTGATATTTTTATTTTCTCTTTTTTAAGTTTTGGATTGATGCAAGTAGATTGTTTCTAATAAACACAATGCTTTAAAAATTCTTGTTTAATTGTAAGGGGGTGTATTGAAAATCTTGCATAATCTCCTTTAAAAAATTATATTGTTTTTGACTTTGAGTTTCTCGAAAGAAGAGAAAAGAAAGTAAGGAGTGAACGAGATTTTGGATAATAGCTTGATTGATGGTTTGGTCTACCCCGGAATGTTTTCTTTTTTGAAAATATGTTAAATTATATTTCAAAAAAAACTGTATTCTGTACAAAATCTTTAAAGATAGAGAAAGCAAGAATTAATGTTTGCGAAGCTAAAAAACAGGAGGCAAAATTTATTTAAATGCTACTTTCTATCTGCGAGTATCAAACCATCTCTCCAAGCCCACTTCATAGCTGCGATCCCCTGCAATGCGTAATGAGCTCAACCTGTTCCTCATCATCCGATCGAGTATGAGAATCAAGTTCTGTGGCGATGTCGGAGAATCCACATGCCGTTGACAGTTTCGCTCTTTCCAGATCCAAGTGAGCGCTATTTGGAAACAATATTTCGCTAGAAACAGAGTCATCTTGTCCAGAGTATCAGAGAGAAGCAGGTTGAGTATCTCATCAAGTTTCACCGAATAACTGTGGCAAGTAAGACCATACCAAACTTGATTAGAAAAACTGCATTCAAAGAACAGGTGTGCCTTTGTTTCCACGGGAATGGAGCAAAAGACACATGCCGCAGAGATTCCTCTGTTCCACAAAAGCATACAATCCCCTGTTGTTAATCTATCACGCATAGCAAGCCATGTGATGAAGGCACACTTCGGCATAGCGTGGCGAAACTAGACTACATGACTCCAACCTCTCTGAGGGGCGTGATGCCTAATGATATCCCAAGTTTGCTTCGACGAAAACTTTGTCCAATACTTGTTATTTTTTCCTCTCCATAACGCTTGATCTGAACCACTAGTACGTTGAGAAGCAACTTTCCAGACTTCATCTTCAATTAAGTTCAGAGTATCATTCCGGTGATGTTTCCTTCGGTGGCTTCGCCAGACAGATGCTAATGTGGCATAGGCAGATACACCATATGCAATTAATCCCATCGAACCTGTTAGATCAATTAGGCATCCCAACCCACTCCAATGATCATGCTAGAAAGAGATTTCTTCGCCATCCTGTACTTTCACACAGTGCATCGTCTTTGCGACATCTCGAAACTTCAAGAGACGTCTCCATATCCATGAGCCATGAAGCTGAGAGGGCTTTAAAGCCCAGAAAGAGTTGCCGCGGAACAGATAGTGTCGTACCCACTGTACCCATAAAGATGTTCGATTTGATAGTAATCTCCAAATCAGCTTAAGACTACACACCTTATTAGCCTCTTGTACAGATCGAATCCCCAACCCACCTTCCGATTTTGGCTTACAGACATCTATCCAAGCGACTTTCACTTTCCTTACATTTAAACTTGGTCCGGACCATAGAAACGAATTGCACAGTCCCTCAACCTCTCGCACGCAACTTTGTGGTAATCGAAAAAGCAGCTATCCAAAAATTGATCAGTCCAGATATTACCGAAAGAATGAGCTGTAACCGACCAGCATAAGAAAGATGTCTTGCGGTCCAAGATCCAATGCGAGCCCGAATTTTCTCAATCAACGGAGCATAGTCTTCCTTCGTCATACGTTTAGTCAATAATGGGAGGCCCAGATATCGCACCGGTAGCTCCCCTATTGCAGACGTGAACCGCTCTGCAATCATATTGCGGTTCTCCTCCGAAACCCCTGCCATAAAGATCGTTGATTTCTCAAGACT